TCTCTCTCTCTCTCTCTCTCTCTCTCTCTCTCTCTGTGTGTGTGTGTGAGACGTGTGACTATGGTCTTTTAATGGTAAGCAGTTGTGCTGTCAAAGCAAAGCAATGTGATTTGAATCTATCAGCTGTTCTACACAAGAATGGGCACTCTTCTCCTCCCATGTGATTTACTGCCTCTGAAAATTTACTGCAGGGTCAGCTCTGGGTCAGAGCACACAGAAACAATGAGAGAGAGAGAGAGAGAGACAGAGAGAGACAGAGAGAGACGGGTAGGTGTGTAGGTAGGTAGGTGGGTAGGTGTATAGGTAAGTAGACAGAAAGACAGGTCTCAGTCTTAGGGATATATACATCACTCACTCATTTCCATAAAATTGGAACCAACTCATAGTTGACTCTCCAGTAAATTTTCAGAGGCTATAAATCTCACAAGAGAAGACTGCCAACTTTATCTCTTGGTGAACCTAGGAAATCCAAATTTCTTGCCTTTGAGTTGGTTGGCAGAACAATCTTATCCACTAGGCTACCAAAGCTCCCTAGTGCATACAAATACACACACCCACATACTCCCTATGTGCTCATGTGTAGATACAGACATAGATAACATAGAAAGAGATGGTGCAGATGCAGATATTGATGTAGATGTACATGTCGATGATGCAGATAGAGATGATGCAGTTGGATATGATGTAGATAAAGAGAAAGATTGAGATAATACAAGTCACACCCCGAGGAAATGTCTTTTCAACTGGATTGGACATTTAAAGACTAAGGTTCCAACTCAAGGGGACATAACAACAGTCAATTTGGAATAGAATCTTCCACAGCCTCATAGTATCTTCTTAAAATATAGTAAATCTTTTATATAAATATACAGTATCAATAGATTAATAAATATATTACATAATTTAGTAAACAATTACTAATAATCAAATTATGCCATTTAGAGTATAGCAGACATAAATTTAACCCCATAATAAAAGTTATTGCCAGTGAAGGGACAAATCAGCCTATACATTTCCTGGTATGAAGCCTTGAGAAGAAGAAGAAATTGTTTCAATTACATTTCCTGCCAAAATAACATCAATTGACTCTCATCATAAAGACACATCAAACAAATGACACTAAGGAGATTCTCCCAAGTAACTGAACTTACTGTCAAGATCATAAAAGACAAAATCACCAAAATAGATAGCATGGGTAACGTTGACAATGCCACAGCTGGTGGAAATGTAGAAGAAATGTATTGAATATGTGGCTGATGGAGTGTTTTTGGAAACTCTTTAGAAATTTCAAATAAAGTTAAAAATATGCCTATCCTATGACGCAGAAATCTTACTTCTAAGGAAATATTTGAAGTAAATGAGTACAGATAAGCACAAAATTATTTAAACAAGAATGTTCTTCGTCACTTTATTCATAATGACTCAAACTGGAAGCAGCTTCAATGTTTATCAATAGAGGAAAGGATAAACTACTATATACATATAACAGAAAATTACTCAACTGATAAAGAATAAACAGATGACATATTTTAAGCATTAGATTAAGCTTGAGTTGCTAAAATGTGTATTCTTTGGTTCCATTTGTGTGAATTTCAAGAAGTGGTGTCGAAGCCAAAATACTGATTACTTCTAAAAGATGATGGATACATTAACACAGGAGAGCATTCAAAGATGAGGTCGCTTCTCTTGATGTGTATGGCAGCTACATGGAGTATAAATTAAAAATTAATCACTCAGCCAGACAAAAATGTAAAACACAATGCCATTCTTTTCATTACATTTTTCAAAAGGTGTCTTCTCTTTCACTATAATATATATAAACTCTTATCTTCCATTATAATATAGTATTTATGCTAACATTAGATGGGTTTATTGCTGTTTTAAAATGAGTTAATAAATAAAAATTTATCAACCTAACCCAATATTACAATGAAATGTGCGAGGAGCTAGAGTCAGAAAATCAAAAGGGCCGAACTCATTCAGCATTTCTTAAGCTCAAGGAAATGAAGAACAAATTCAAACCTAGAGTTGCTATAATCAAGGATGCTTTAGGCAGAATATTAAATGATCCAGGAGGTATTAAAAGAAGATGGAAGGAATATAAGTCATTATATAGAAAGGAATTGGCAGATACAGAAGAATTTAATGAAATAATATTTGAGCAAGAGCCTATGGTGATGAAGGAAGAAGTTCAAGCTGCTTTGAAGGAAATAACAAAAAATAAGGCCCCAGGAATAGATGGTATACCAATTGACATATTTCAGCTAACAGATGCTGCCCTGGATGTGCTCACCAAGTTGTGCCAAGAAATCTGGAGAACAACCATTTGGCCAACTGACTGAAAGAGATCTTTATTTGTTCCCATTCCAAAGAAGGGTGATCCAACTGAGTGCAGAAACTACACAACAATATCATTGATTTCACATGCAAGTAAGATTCTACTGAAGATTATCTAAAAACGACTGGAACAGCACATCAGCAGAGAACTGCCGGATGTCCAGTCTGGGTTTAGAAGGGGTCATGGTACTAGAAATATTGTAGCTAATGTTAGATGGATCTTAGCTCAAAGCAGGGAATACCAGAAGAATGTCTGTGTTTCAATGATTATGCAAAGGCCTTTGACTGTGTGAACCATAACAAACTGTAGCTGACTCTGAGAAGAATGGGAATCCCAGAACATTTAATCGTGCTAATGCGAAACCTATACTTGGACCAAGAGGCAATCATCAGAACAGAGCAGGGTAACACCGGATGCTTCAAAATTGGAAATGGTGTACGCCAGGGATGTGTCCTATCTCCATACCTTTTCAACCTGTATGCAGAGCAGATTATCTGAGAGGCTGGGCTCTATGAGGAGAAGTGTGGCATCAGGATCAGTGGAAGATCTATTAACAATCTGCGTTATGCAGATGACACAACTCTGCTTGCCAAAACTGAGGAGGACCTCATTTATTTGCTGCAGAGGGTCAAGGACTGCAGCCTTCAGTATGGACTGAGGCTCCATTTCAAGAAGACAACGATTCTCACCA